TTTAAATTTCACGGGCTCAGGAAGAAACAAAAAGTCAATCACTCCAGTGGAAGTCCTAAGGAACTCCTTTCATTGGTCAGGGGTCTTAGAGAAGGTGGGGGTTCCTCCCAGGTTAAAAGTCCCTTTCTTCCACACCCCTTGGGACTCCATGTTTGGGTCCCCTTCCAGGAACACTCCCTTATTGGATCTTTCTCTCTCCTGGATTTTTCCTCTGGGGTCCCCTTCTGCACTCTCTCGTGGAAGCCTGTCTTCCCCTCCGAAACTCCACCTCTCTCTCTATTCCCTTGCATTCAGTGTGGAAGCTGCTTTTCTCTCCCGGATTCCATCTTTCTGGATTCTCTAACTCAGTGTGAGAGTTAGCTGTTTCTTTCTCTCTCCTCCTGTTTCTTTCTCTCTTTAAATAAAATCACTTTCTACAAACACTTTTGAGTCTGGCATTTACTGCGCACTGGGCCATGGTCCCCTCTCTCAGTCTTAAGAGGACAGGAGAACAAGAACCTGAAGAAACATCCCCTCAGGGGAGCTAAGGGCACCCTGAACCCCTGAACCCCAATATTACAGTATGTTGCTTCAGAGATAAAGTACCTTTTGTAGTATGTTTTATATGATGTAGGAGAAGAAAAATTAAGCATGTTCTGTGTTGGGTACGATGATAACCATTTCCTGAATCTATAGGAGCAATTTCCTCTTTTTCCTTTTTTTTTTCTTAAAAATAAATAAATAAATAAAAGAGATGGGGTCTTGCTATGTTGTCCAGGCTGGTCTCAAATTCTTGGCCTCAAGAGATCCTTCTATCTTGGCCTCTCAAAGTGCTAGGATTGCAAGCATGAGCCACCGTGCCCAGCCTAATCACCCCTTTTAAATAAGACATTTAAATCCGTGTCTGTCATGTTATCCTGATTAGTTAGGAACAAAATGAGGTTCCATGCTTCGAGATAACTAAAAAGCTAAAATATATTAATTTTTGCAAAATGTCAAACATTTACTTTTCAAATGAATTAGAAATAACATATGAACTCTATGCTGTACTACAACTTAGAAAATGTTTCCTACTATAATTTTTGGTTAATATGCTCTCCTGGAACTTAGAAGAGGTGAAGGGATTTCTACAAACCTAAAGATATCAAATTACAATAGAAGCCTAAGTATCTTCTTTTCATGTCTGGTTCTGAATGATGGACAATTTTTAGAAAATGTGGTTCCTACCTCCCTTGCTCTTGAGAAGGATACAAACATTTTTGAAAGGATAGAAATCATGAACTGTTGGTGTATTGTATCAAGGGAGCACTTTAAAATATTTTTATATGGCACAAAATATGCTCTTATAAATAAACTAAACCAAAATATTTGGTGGAATTTCTTCCATTTTTTCAACTTTGACACAGTTGAATTTGCTCAGCTATGAAAGCTGAGCTAAGTGACCCCCAATACCTACATGTGCTAGGAAGTCAGGAGGTTAAAGCTCAGGGGGATGGGAGGGGGGCGCAATCTCTCAGCATCCAGCTCTTTAGCACCAAGCAATGTTTAATTTGATAATTACAAATCTAACTTGTGGAATGGTTTTTTGTTCCAGATATATTTATTATAAGTGATTTGGAAGCTATCTCTTTGACTTGCCTCCCCAAATGTTCCAGTCTGTATTCATACAAAATGTATTATTTTGTTACTTAAGATCTGTTTGGCAGAAGTAAGAGGCTGTAAAGGCTTGAGAAATTGCTTAGATGGAAAGTTTTATCTCCCATCATGTTTTCCTCTGCTGGGTAGAGACAAAGCCCAAAAATGCAATCTTGTTTAAAAAGTTAGGTTTTTTTTTTTTTTTGGCTGGTCTACAAATAACTATGATCATTGTGAATAGTAGGGACAGACTACTAGTAGCTGACTCTAAATTTAGAAATAACTCTTTTTAGGTCTAGGTAGGCATCTCAGTTTCAGAAAAGTTAGTAACAGTTACTAGCAAAATCACTTTTATTCTACTGCAGAAATTTTTGAAAAATATGCTAGATATAATAATAGAATGGTTAGTTGATTTCTCTTTAAAAACCAGTAAATGGCTTTGAAGTCATGAGTGGTTAGAAAAATGAGGAGCTGTAAAATTAAGAAGTAGCCAAAGCCAATTGGTTTGAAGCTAGAACTAAAGCGGAGTTCTAAGGTTGATATTCTTTCTCACTGGGGGAAAGTACTTAATTGACCTTGGAAAGCTACAAGATAGGGCTAATTACACTATTAATGCACAAATATTCAGACACCTGCACTGCACCCTTCTGAATGCTTTAGGATTTAGCTGCAACTTTGAAAAGTAACTGAACCAAACCAAGGCTGTAACTCTACAGGATCTTAGCATCCCAGAATTATGCTGACACTCTAATAGGAGACATAACTTTTCAAACATTTCAGAAACTAGTGAAATAAACAGTGAACAAATAAGGCTATTTTCATAAAACAGATTTTTACTGAGTGCCTATTAAATACTATGTGCCAGGCTCTTTCAGACACAGAGATACAGATAAAGTTCTTGCTCTCATGGAATGTAGCTTCTAATACTGAATGATATTTCACTGATGGGTAGTGGAAAAGTGTGGGGATACTTCCAGGAGGATGCATTAAGCAATGGAAAATCTTGAAATCCAGGTGTCAGAAAGATTTTGAGTTGCTTGCTAGGAAGCTAATGGGCCCTATGAACTGAGGACTAAGTAGAAGGGGAAAATAACTTTAGTTGCAACCACTTTTTTCCCCTCTCCTTCTTGATGAGCCTTTTATGTAAACCTGGCATTCGGACCATAAAAATACGGTTATTTTTTGTTAGTAAACCAAGGAACAATTTAGGTGGCATTAATTTAGTGAGCTTATTACCAGGCTGTTACAGAAATCAATAAACATGTACTTTTTAACCATCCCCTGAGGTGGCTTCCTGTCACCATTAGTTATTCTGTGAGACTGCTGCATTTAAAAAGATGTGGTGAACAGAAATACTGCCCCTGTACAGTTACAAATTGTGCCCTGCAACTTTCAGGACTTTCTCAGGTTGCCAAGTAATCGGTTCTTTCACTATGCATTTATATGTATTTATACTTTATTATAGATTATTTTCTGCAGTAAGTTACAAAGTTGTACCCTAAGCTTGTAAAGGTCTTTGCTGTTATGATACAGTCCGGTATATCAGCCTGGACAAGGACAGGCTATTGTTCTTACAGAATATCCAGCCTTATCCAATGCCCCCATGGAATTATTCAAAATAATTTCGATTATTTACAAAATCAATTCACTCTCTGGTTTATGGTGACAGCAGTTTCATTCTCTGAGACACCAAAAAGTGGCCAGCAGTTTCGAGTAACTGAAGAGATTTGCTACCTATTTCTTGGAGAGAGGCCTATCCTGCTCATTCTGTACTGGAATGGAAAAATGTGGTCTTTCCTTTTTTTCTCTCTCTCTGAGACTGGGTCCCACTCTGTCATCCAGGGTGGAGTGCAGTGGTGCGATCCCGCTGACTGCAGCCTTCGAGCTTCTGGGCTCAAGTGATCCTCCCAACATTCTCCCCAGTAGCTGGTACTACAGGCATGCGCAACCACACTCGGCTAATTTTTTAAATTTTTTGTAGAGATGGGGTCTCCCTATATTGCCCAGGCCAATCTTCCACTCCTTGGGCTTGAGATCTTCCTGCTTTGGCCTCCCAAAGTAAAGGGGTCATGGCTAATTCTTTTCTTATTACTTTTTTAAAAACAGGATCGCCTGAAGTCAGGGATTCAAGACCAGTCTGGCCAACAAGGTGAAACCCTACTTTTTTTTTAAATTACAAGAGTAATGTGTGCCTTACAGATAAATAAGTAAAATCACTCACAATTCCACTAATCACTGAGACTTACTGGTGTTTATTCATCCAGTCTTTTCTGCCTTTCTCCATAAACCACAGTTGTAAAAAATGGGACCATATGGTATAGTGTCTTGTCTCCTCACCTCCTTAAATAACCTTCACATTGTTCCATGGTACTTATTTACTAATAATGACAGTAAACCTAAGAGGTATGTAACTAACTTTATTCAGGGAACGGCAAGCAGGAGTAAATTATTTTCTTCTTGTTAACTGAGCACGCCCCTACCGCCACTCATCCTTATAGTCGTTCTCCAAATTCCTAAGTGACCCCTGACCAGCAAGGTTTCAGGGTCCCTGTACTTAAAGGAGCAGGCTCGCCTGGGGTCACGGCCCTCCGCATCGTAGCAAGACCTCACCGCCCGCCACGGACCTCCGGTCAGCCACACCTCGCTTCCCCCAGGACCTGGCCAGAGGTCCCGAGAAGGCACTCTGCGGACCTAGGGGTCCCAACCCACAAGACGCCGCGTCCTCCGGTCATCCCCTTTACACAGCAGAGCCCCAGTTCTGGGAAGTCGGGGTCACCCTGATCCTCCCTCCCCCGTGACAGTTCGGCTGCTGCGTCGCCTTCCCTCGCGGACCCTTTCAGCCTCACCCCACTAGGGGAGAGACCCAGGAGAGGCGCCCGAGCCTCGGTGGCGGCCCATTCTCGGTGCCGCGCGGCGCCGCGGCCGGACCGGAGCCGCGCCGTCCCCTAATGATGACGCGCTTCCTGCCCTCCCAGCGCTCACGGGCCGTGCGCTCGCGCTCGCCCTAGGCTCTTGTTCCGCGCCGGGAGCCAGCGGCGGCGGTGGCAGCGGCTGAGGCGGCTGCGGGAGCGGAGTGGTCGCCCAGCGCGCGGGGGGACCCGGGCTGCACTCCCGGGCAGGCACTCTGCAATGAGACAGTAAATGCATCCCCCGGTAAGGCGCACGGCTCGCTCGGGTTTTCCTTCCTCCAGCTGCATGCACGTTGCATGAATTTCTCGTGGCTTTTCCCTCCCCTCTCCAGAAGGAAAATGTGGGTGTTTTTTTTCGTCCCTTTTGCTTCTCGTGAGTGATGCCAATGCAGGAAAAACCCGTAAAGCTCTCAGATTTGCTGGTCTAGGAGGGCTTCTTGCAGGAAAATAAAAATAAAATGAAATTAATGCACCTGTCTATTGCACATGTATGTTTCTCTGCACTGGACCCGGGCGCAGCGATTTGCAGACAGCCTCGCAGCCGGCGCCAGAGAGCGGATTCCTGGCCGTGGGCGGCCGGTCCCCTCTGGGGCTCTCGCTGGGTTTCCGGTAACTGGGCTTTGAAAAGCGGCCCCGCCTGCATAGTGTCCCCTCGACCCCGGCCGGGCCCCCGCGCCAGGCGGGTTGGCGCGGGCGGAGCGGCTTCATTCCAGCACTGGCCGCCCGGACTCCAGCGCCACTTTGCAAACAAGTCTCCCGCCGAGGCTCTGGGCTAAGACGGTCCGCCAGTGCGGAGCTCCTTTTCCAGTGCCGGACACTCAGACCTGACGATCCCACGACTGCCCTTTACTTGGCAGTCTCGCCACGGGCGAACTGCTGGCCGCTGAGCGACGGGGGCAGTGCCGGGCCGAGAGCGGGGACAGGCTTTGCATCCAGTACAGCTGGTCTCACACAGACTCAGCGTCTCCCTCTCCTTCCTCGGTCCCACGAGCTGAAATTTCGCGCCCATTGGGAGCTGAAGGGACCTGGAGACGGGCATTTCGGGAAACCTGAGGGGATCGAGGAGCGACTTTCGAGGGCGCCATATTTTCAGTGGGTCTTGGCTGTGGAGGGGAGGGGGCGAGCAGTTTCTGGGCCCCGGGGAGAGCGCCGCGTCCCCGCCGGAGAGGCCTGAGCGGTTGTCGCCGGTAAAGTTTGCGCGCCGAGGCAGGCGCGGAGGCGGCCGTGCAAGGCGCGCACGACTGCTGTCCCCGCAAGGGCGCGCGGGCTACAGCGCGTCGCCACGCCGGCCGGCGGGGTTTGGGGCCGAGAGCCGCCGTCACGGACCGCGTGCTCGGCTTGCCGCCTTCAGTTGTCCCGCCTGGACCCGGCCTTGGGGCTCGGAGGCTCAGGGAACACGCCCCTCTTCCCCGCTGCCGCTCCCCGGGCGCTCCTCCGGAGCCGTGCGCTTGGCGGCGTCCCGGGGCTGGGCGCCGAGTGCAGAGCGTTCTCCCGGCGCCCGGGCTCGCCTGAGTGCTCCGCGGGGCGCGGGAGCTCACTCCCTGGGGGAGACGAGGCGCCTTGGTTCGAAGATTGGAACCAGGGCCTGGCTGTGGTCGCCCCGAGGCCGCCAACCAGCTTGAGCTTCCAGTCGCCTCCTTGGCTTTGGCAGCGACAGCAGTAGCGCCCGCGGCTGCGTGCTCTGCTCTGTCAGCTCCTGGAGGCGAGGAAAGGAGGGCCTTTCCAGAAGTTGGGGCTTCAGGTGGTGCGTGGGGAAACTTGGATTCTTGCTGTCCGTGAAGGGCTGGGACAACTTAGGCCAGAATTCCTGTGTCTTATAGTGAAAACTTCTTGGTATTTCCAGAAGATCAGAGAGGAATGAGCCGAAGTGTTGGCGATATCAAAGATATAAGTAAAGATGGGTAGGGATAATGTCTTGGAGAAGTGGACCCCAAAATACACGTAAATTGCCCTGGTGCTGTAAGTACCACTTACTTTTCCTTCTAATAGTACCTGGCTGTGTTGAGTTGTGGCATTGTTGGGTTGCATGCTGACCTCCCTTCTCCAGAGCTTAGAGGTAGCCACCTCCCTGGAGTGAGGAGGAAGCGGGAGTGGGGATTACTTTTGAAATAGACTATCACCTCTGCTTTGTGAAGGGGCAGGGTAGGGGTGTATTTGCTGACCTACAGGCAGCCGAGTGCAGGAACGTGTTCTCCTTGGCGTGTTACTGAAGTGATGTCATAGTATTGAGGTCTTGTCGGCACTTCGTGTCTTTGTCATTGAAGAGGCTAGAAGTGACCACAAAAACCTCTGGGGTTGGGGGTTAGGTGTGCAGAGGGAAGGAAGAGGCTCTCATGTGGGAGATATGCCTGGAGATGTTAGGGATTAGGCAGCTCTTTCCCTCATTCATTTCAGGAAGCCCCTGCAAAAGTGTCTTTGATATGAACAGCAGCCAAGATTTTATCTACCTTGATTGCTTATTTGGGACCTCTGTGTGAAACCAGAGGATGGCTGTGGGTGTGAGTGTGATAAGTGGCCTTGAGAAGAGAGAGATGCCTACACGAATGCCTTTTTTTTTTTTTCTCATTGAGCACTAGAACAGTGGAAAACACCCAGAGCCCAAGATACATTTTTCCAAAATTAGCGTAGCTAATTTAGAAGAGGAATCAGTTTAAGTTTCCAGTTTTAGAGGGGAGTACCTTAATCACAGAAATAGGTCTCTTCAAATTGGGGAAGCCACTGGTTTCTTTCTGCCTTTGTACCCATTCAAGTTATCAGGGAGATTCCAAAGAGTTTTAGAGAGTCTCTCTTTTTGGCATTGATGTGGGGCTTCTACCTCCAAAGAGAAAGTGAACTTTTAAAAACTTGATGCTTTTGAATGAGTTACTAGGGATATTCTGTACAGGTATAGGCTGAATATGTGTTTTGAACTCATACATACTGCTGACTCATTCAGCTTTTGCAAGCACTGTTCCCTAGAGTATTTTTAAGTGAAGTTAGGGTTTAGGAAGAGGTGGGTATTGTATTTTCTAGTCAGTATCTTTTTTCTATATCACAATTAATCTGATTTTCCCATCTCACAATTAATCTGATTTTCCCCTCCAACATCATTAGTTCCTTAGAGCTGTAAAGGACGATTACAGGTGGTGAACAGTATGTTTTTACCAACTATGCTCAGAAAAAACCCTATGTATCTAAATATGTATTTATTCATTTTAGCATTATGTTTTTTAACTACATATATACCACATATATTTTATGCATATGTTAAACTTTATATAATAAAAATTAGAGAAGCTTTATTGCAAACCCTCTAATCTTTATTCCCAAGTTTACTACCTTAATTTTTATCAATTTTTTATGTCTCTCTCAACAAATTGTTATAAATTGTGCTTTGTTGCCTCTTGCCTGATTCTTTTTTTTTTTTTTTGAGATGGAGTCTTACTCTGTCACCTCAGCCTTCCAAGTAGCTGGAATTACAGGCACGCACCACCACACCCAGCTAATTTTCATATTTTTAGTAGAGACGGGGTTTCACCAGGTTGGCCAGGCTGATCTTGAATTCCTGACCTCAGATGATCCACCCGTCTGGGCCTCCCAGGGTACTGGGATTATAGGCACGAGCCACCGTACCTGGCCACCCTGATTCTTATTATCATAACTTCATGGCTTGACCAAAGTTCTTGCATTTTTTTTTCCCTTTTAAGATTTTGTGGCTGGACACAGTGACTCACGCCTACAATCCCAGCACTTTGGGAGGCCGAGGTGGGCGGATCACGAGGTCAGGAGATTGAGACCATCCTGGCCAATATGGTGAAACCCCATCACTAGTAAAATACAAAAAATTAGCCGGGCTTGGTGGCACACACCTATAGTCTGAGCTACTCAGGAGGATCAGGCAGGAGAATCACTTGAACCCAGGCGGCAGAGGTTGTAGTGAGCCGAGATCGGTCACTGCACTCCAGCCTGGGTGACACCATCTCCGTTTTTACGAAAAGTAAAAAAAAAAAAAAAAAAAGAAAAGATTTTGTAACTTCAAAAAGTTAGAAAACGAGTATGTGTTTTGGAAAGTTGCCTGTCTCTTTACCAGTCTGTGTAGTGGTATCGTGATGCGTGTGTGGCATGTCCAGACTCTTAAGACAGTGTCTACAACTTGTGATCTGTGACATTATTGCTTCAGAACTTTTGACGCGTAATGCTTTTTTGGTGATTTTGAGTGGCTGTTGGCCAGTACAGGAAGTACTGAAAAAGAGTTAAATAATTCAGTTATTTTTATTAGGCACAAAAAATTTTAAAGACAAGAAGGAAAACATAATAAGCAGGGCCAGAATTATAGCCTAACATACCCACCTGTGCCTTTTTATAACAGTACTTTCCCCAGACTTTTTAATCGTATCACTTTTATATCTAATAAGGAGACTAGTTGAAACATAAGCCAAACATACCTATTACAAATAATAGGGATAAATGGTGGGTATGACCAGATGTTTTGCCTAAAGTTCAAAGAGTTAAGGAATCTGAACTCAGTCAGATTTCCCCTGCAGGGCCCACACCCGCCCCTCAATAAGCTGGAGAAAGGCAAAGAAGTCAGGGTGGAGGAGGGGGAGATGGCGTGCTTAAGGGAGGCCGCTCTTATGTATTGACCACCCTGACAATCTTTGGCTCAGTGGCAGGTGCCATTTGAGTGACAGCTGTTGGACAAGGCTGGGTACAACATGCTTTAGTTGTGAGAGTCTTTATTTATGTGTCGCCCAGAGCTATGAATTGGGACTGGGCTCATTTGCCACCCATTTCACAGTGGAGTTTCAGAGACAATGCCAAGAGCATGGTTTTGTTTTTTCTCTTAACCAACAATTTAATTTCAGCCAAACTGATGCTGTTCTGAAAATGTAGAACAAGGAATGAACATTGGTAATTTACTTTTTATTCTTTTAGCTGCAATTTTAACAAATATAATTCCCTACCTCTGTTATTCGCTTATTCAGTGAATGTTTTTGAGGGTTTAGCATGCACTTTATGCTGAGAAGATATCCCCTGCCCTCACAATGCCCACACATTGTGTTCCTGGGAGGTGATACTCTTTTGTCCTTACTCTTTTGTACTTTGTGTATCTAGTAGCCAGGGCTGGGGTGGGGGGGGCGGTGGGGAGATGAGTATGTGATGAAACAGTAATACTGAAATACAACACTATAGAAAGATGAGAAAAGGATGTGACCAGGCAATTCCCAGAAGAAGGGATGCAAATTATTGCATCTCTTCTCAACCTCCCTAGTGGCCAGAGAAATACAATTTAAAAATAGGTATTATTTCCTGTCCATACGATTGATACATCTTTTAAAAGGTTGGTGATACTCTCTGTTAGATGGGGGACAGGGTAGGAATTCTCAGACTCTATTGGTGCAAGTGTGAATTGTTACAACCTTTGGGAAAAGCAGATGGCTTCTGTGAAAATTTGGAGCAAGGGTGCCATGTAACCCAGCAATCCCACATTTGCAACCTTGTTTTACAGAAAGAAAAACATTGGCATGTAAGGGTCTGTGGGTAAGGATGTTTGTTGTAGGATTTTTTGCAGTAAATAAATTAGAAGCAACAAATATTCATTAGTAAAATGAATAAAATAAGGTTACATACGTAGCATGGATTATTTTGTGTGGGTTGTACATGACATATTAAAAATACGTAAAATAAAAGCTAGTTGCAGCGTATCATGTGTTCTATGACTATATTTCTGATTTTAAAAAAGAAGCCCTATGTGTATGACCTTGGAGAAAGATGTGTAAGGACACCCAAAACTTAAGATTGTTTTAAGATTAGCAGTGAGGAGGGGGAGGTCATGAACTTTCTCCATATACACTTCAGTTGGTTGACTTGTTCAAACATGCAGCCTTTTCTATATGAAAAGAAGTTAAAAAAATATTTGGTTAATGGATAAGAAACTCACCAGCAACCGTTAGAAAAAAAGGCTGGGAAATATCACGCTTACTTTCTCTGTTGCCTCCTCCTATAGCAATCTCTTATCTCTTTGGAAATTTTCAATTAACTGTTTTCTAAAATCCTTTGATTTCTCAGCTTTAAGAGTATACCTTCAGTGTAAAGGATAGCTTCAGAAAAATCTGTTTCCTTCTGCCCCCAGGAGGTGGTGAAGGTAAGAACTCAGGAAAGCTCTTACAAGCACTCCTTTATCTTAACTTTCTCTGATCCCATTCTGAGGGAAGACCAATAATGGCTCATGCAGGGAGAGTTACTGGCCAATTGAGAAGCCTTTTTTTAAAAAAATTTTTAAACAGGGCCTAGCTAGCTGGAGTGCAGTGGCATGATCTCTGCTCACTGCAACCCCAACCTTCTGGGTTCAAGTGATTCTTACGCCTCAGCCTCCTGAGTAGCTGGTATTATGGACATGTGCCACCACTCCCAGCTAATTTTTGTGTTTTTAATAGAGATGGGGTTTCACCATGTTGGCCAGGCCTGTCTGGAACTCCTGGCTCAGGCAATCCACCTGCTTTGGCCTCCCAAAGTGCTGGAATTACAGGCTTGAGCCACGGTGCCTGGCCTGAGTTTTTCTATTTGAGGCCCAGAGAGGACTAGGCTGGTGTTTGAACCCAAGTCTCTCTCTTTCCATACGATCCCTGGCGTAGCTGGCTGTTCCACCTTTACCATTTTCAACCGAGCTTCTTAATATGATTTTTGAAACCTTGATAGAACTGATGAGTTTTTGCCAGTTGCAGCTAAAACCAGTCTTTCAAAAGCATTTCACATTTTATTTTTTATCTGAATAATATTTTTAGAGACAGGGTCTCTCTGATGCCCAAGCTGGAGTGCAGGTGTACAATCACACCTCACTACAGCCTCAAACTCTTGCCTTAGCCTCTTGTTAAGCTGGGACTACAGGAGCTTGCCACCATACCTGGCTAAATTGTATTATATATATATATGTGTGTGTGTGTGTGTGTGTGTGTGTGTGTGTGTGTGTGTGTGTATATATATATTTTTTTTTTTTTTGTAGAGACCAGCCCTATGTTGCCCAGAGTGGTCTCAAACTCCTGACCTTAAGCGATCCTCCCACCTTGACCTCCCACAACATTGGGATTATAGGTGTGAGTCACCACACCCTGCTCTACACTAAAAAAAGC